CTTTCTCTAGATAGGTAAAATGATATTCGAAACATCAAGAAACCGATCAAAAGTGTGAAGAACAACAATCGCAAGGAGCAATTTCAATGAATCTCACCTCACAACAGCGAAGATCGCCTACCAGTTCAATGCGTTCTCTATGAAGATTGAGAAGTTTGCAGTTGGGCCGCCAATTGATATCAATAAAGATATCGTTTCAGCAACTTCAGAACCAAAAGGGAATTTTTTTAAGACTCCCACTGAACTGTACAAGAAACATTTTTTTCTGGTGAATGAGCCATCATAGCTGGTTGAAGTGAATTACCGATTTCCTTCAGTCAATCTATTCTGAAAATAAAAAAATAGGTTTTACTAAAGGGAAGAAACTTTTGACCACCGCCTTAACCCAGTGGGAACTACTGTCTCAGGGAACGGCGGGTGTTTGAATTTTCTTTTCGCTGAGAAGACGTCGTACAGCAGGTAACTTCTCCAAGATGAATGAGGTGGATGGGCTGGAAGCCGACCCAGGAGGTAGAGAAACCCCAAAGAGTGGCCCGGGAAGAAGTTGCGCTATAAGGACTCCAGACGAGCTCTACCACCTTGAGCAGCATTCCTGATCTAGCGTGGGTGGTACTTGAGCAGCATTCCTGATCTAGCGTGGGTGGTATACTAATAGTCATCATCCCATTTCCTTCGCAGTAAGGGTGGTCTCCACCCTTTCGAGTAATACAGCCCCGAAGATTAAGGAGTCTGCGGTTGGCCCACCTGATTAATTGATCGATCGTTTCAGCAAATTCAGAACGAAAGGGGAATTTTTTTAAGACTCCCACTGAACTGTACAAGAAACAATATTTTCTGGTGAATGAGCCACCATAGCTGGAAGGGAAGAAACTTTTGACCACCGCATTAGCCCAGTGGGAACTACTGTCTCAGGGAACGGCGGGTGTTTGAATTTCCTTTACACTAAGAAGAAGTCGTACAGCATTTTAACTTCTCCAAAATGAATGAAGTGAATGGGCTGGAAGCCGTCTCAGGAGGTAGGGAAACCTCACAGAGTGGCCCGGGAAGAAAAATTTGCGCATTAAAGATTCTATCCGAGCTCTCCCACCTTGAGGATCACTCCTGGGCTGGCAATTGCCTCCAATGTGTGATTTTCAAAGCTAAAGTGTAATCTATCAATGAGGTCCTGGTCAACTTTCCCCCAACCGTTTACGACTGCTTTCTTAAACTCACTGATACCTCCAACTGCTTGTTCTCTTCATAAATCTTCCATATCTTGAATCCCATACGTTTTCCACTATATTCAAGTAGGGGCTGTTAGCCAGCCAGGGCGAAATCCGAGTTGGTGCCGACTAAAGCGGTCTTGGTTGCTTGACTGACGTGAATCGGAGCATCATTATGCACAAGTAAGAGGATCGAATCCGAATTCATCTTTGAAATTTTCCATATCAACCAAATTTCGGAAATATATTCACAGAAGAGGTCAACATCCTCCCCTTGTTTTTTGAGCAAATCATTGATGCCCTTTGACCAAAAGACAAGAAGCTGTGACTCAACGGAATCACTGACTCCTTTTTCAGATTACGTGAAGTGACGAACTTCCTTTCCTTCAAAAAGTTGCTTGATCAGGCTGAGCGCATGGAAAGGGGCAACGTTCTTGGAGTAGGACAGATGAACGACTGGAACAAAGCGAGTCCGCTGGAGTTTTGAAAGGTGTCTAAAGCCAAATTTCGACGTACGCTTTCCTTATCTATGGGCCAAACATAGTGTTTTGGGCGTCCTTCTCTTACCGCCTTGATAAAATACTGACTAATACATAGTGCTAAGGCACAGCTATGACTATTTACTCTGTGCCCAGCAAGTGTTGGAATGGGTTCTTTCGCATCCAGAAACTTCTAAGCAACTTCTGTCGTCGCATTCTCCTCCGACCCCTAATTTTACTATTTTTGAAGATTAACACATTTGTTAATACGTATACAAAAGCGGGTCCTTGCCCACTAATGCACTATACTGAGCTGTCATATCTCCAGAACTAGATATCCAAAAATTATTGCGAACTAAGCGTTTGAGACCTAGCTACAAGCAATTATATGACGTCTGGAAATTCAAAGAAATTTAGCTGGCTCCTTAAGGGCATTTCATAGCCATCCCCATCTGGTCCTTGTTTTCGGCGCGGATTCTGGGTCTTCACTTGCAATTTCTGCTCAAATAAAGGGATTTTCTGTGACTTTTTGCTTCACATCCTGGCTTCATGCCAAAAGCTGTTTTTGCAGAAACCTTCCGATGTGATAACTTGTTTATTCACCTAGTGATAATCGCAATAGATTGCACCACAAGGACGACCAAGGACGATTTAAACCTACCTTGCAACCTCATCGAGCGGTCGGCATTACCTCCAGCCTTCATTACCAGAAATTTGAAGTGAGTTGCTACTTTGCTGAATGGCGATGTCTGAACATCAGTGCATTCGTACACCCGTGGTTGTCAATGAAACTGAAAAGCTCGGTTGACCGAGACGGTATTCGACACCTAGTTCCAAAAAGGCCATCGTCTGCCTTTAGCCCATCTTCTTCCACTCCTCCGTGTGCCAACTCTTCTTTCCGTCGGCAATTTCAAACTCACTGATGCCTCAAGCTCTCCTGAAGAAATGTAATTCTATCAGGGAGAATTTCAGTGCGCTTTTTGACACTCTTCTGCATTGTCATCGCGGAAGTAAAGTCGACATGCCTCCTAGGAAATTCCACTTTCATCACACGTATACCGGTAAGGCTTTGCTTCCATGAAGTTCTAAAAAGGTCTTCTAATCAGATGTTAAAGTAGACAAACGATCACGCCAATTCCAGATATTCAAGCATACAATATGCGTAACCCGAATCTCCTTTTATGGTCATTCTTGCGTCGAAAAACCAAAAGTGTATTACGGTGCTGTGGAGGATGAGGAAAAATTGCATACAACAACTGTACGTTTACAACCAATCATTATTACTGATATGTTGAAAGAGAGACTTTAAAAACGTGCGAAATTGGGCTTTGTTGAGATTCCCCTGTAGAGGCTTCATATCTCATCTGCTATCTCTACAAATTCGACCCACATCAAGGCGTTAGTGCGAAAAATGGGCTTTCAGTGGATTTGGGCAGAACCGACTCTTATCACAGAGTATCAATAAGAGAGACAAAAGTGTGGTGGTGGGAAGGTAAAGGGAAAGATGTAGTGTTCAGCATTGGTAACAAAGCTGAGGGACTCACTACCTGACTGTGTTAAGATTCCGTACTACCTACTAATGTGAAATCGTTGAGTCATGGAATATATACAGAAGATTACCTAAATCTTCTGTATATATTCCATGACTCCACGATTTCACATTTTACCGGTTGAAAGCTTGAGACCACCAACTGATGTTCACCAAGGAGTGTTCTGAGGGCATCACTCCTCTGATGTAGAACAGGTGGTTCCAGGAGTCTCATGTTTGGCCGAACATGACACGCATACAATAATCATATTTATTATGAGCTTCAACTCTACAAACACTAAAGATACATGAATATTCAACAGCCTAGAATTTGAAGTTATCGAGGTCCCTTTCCTTGATGTATTGATTATTGATACATTGAGGGACTTCACCTTGAGAACTTTCCCGAACGGGTCCCCCACTCGCGAGGGACTTCCACTATCCTCCATCAGGCTAGCTGCATGGTTCTCGCCACTGCCAGCCCTCGGAATGTCGACAAGAGGTAGCGGATCGAATCGATGTACGGTCGCATCACTCAAACGACGATTGCTCCGGTAGAGCGTCCATGAGAACCGAACTCCCCGTCAGGGCCTTGCTATCGCCTACGGGCTGCTTAAGTACCCCCAGAGGCGTGGGGCGGGACACGAGAAGGATCTTCATGAACGGAGTTCATGACACTCCCGGCCAAGCGAAAGAAATTGTGCGATATGCGACGTGGTTTCCTCCCCGTTTTTTTTCTTTGTTTTTTTTTGTTTTCGAAGGTGAAGTCTGATTGACAAATTTTGGTAAGGGATTGGATTGAAATTACAAGATCATATACGACTAGAATAGTACGTAAATTCTGCTAAACAAGATACCTGTTCACGATACAAGTACAAACACTAATGTTAAAAAATAGTAATAAATCACCATGCTAATGCAATCGTATCTATATATCAAGAACAATTCAAGAACACTAGTGGTTACGTGATCACCTTCATGTTGTTTCGCTATTGCGGTCTTCTATCCATGTTGGTGTTGTGGTATCGTGTTAGAGTAAGGCCATGTAGGTAATACCTTATTCCTGTAGCTTATGAAATTGATTTTGACTTTGACTGCATTGGCTACCCGCAGCTAAATCATTTATTTGCCTCTTGTCAAAAGTTTTATAATCAACAAAGACGGGAGGCATAACACCATAATCGACCTAACAAATACAAAAAGTGCATCAAAGTGCAATCGGAAAAATTACAAATAAATTTGAATTGAAATTTGAAAAGGTAATTGAATTGTTAGAGCATAAACACGATTGAAATTGAAAACTTGAATATTGAAGAAAAGAGAAATTGAGATTTGAAGTTTGAATTGAAAGGGGTACAATTGAGGAAATGAGACTTGAAAAAGAGATTTAAATTGAGAATGAGACTTGAAGGAGATATATTGAAAATTGAGAAACGAAAAATTGAGAACTTGATAAATTGAAAAAGAAAGTCGAGGAATTGAAAATATAGAAAAATTGAAAAGCAAGAGTTACCATTGAAAGTTATATGGACAGAATGCACTGTGATGGTTGTCGCTTCTGTTGGCGTTTCTACAATAAAAACAAAAACTAGGTTTAGGGCAAGAAGTCGCGAGGTGGTTGGCTTTTAGCAGACAGCGTTCGCACCTGTTCCGCTAGAAGATCCGACGTCTTCGGTCGGAAAGGGTGCGAAAGCGCGAACAATCACTAGTGTGATGATTATCATCACATAAGGCACAACGTAGCTGTTGGAGTGTTGGGCCTTCCACCTGGTGGCTCGGTCCTGGCTGGGGCTAACGCGGGGGTGGCGGTGGAGTTGCCAGCTCCCGGATATCCTTTAAGACTTCCATGTGGTCCTGGAGTTCTTCCATGAGGCCCTTCTGTTGTTCATACACTTGCTCCAACCCATTGAGGGTGAGGTTGAGCCCAGCTTTGGTGGTCCTTTGGTCGACCACGTTAAGGAGTGTCTAAAGTGAACGTTGTAAGATTGATATTATCGTCCCATTGGCAGTTTTCTTTCGTTTATTTTGCATGTACTAGTGAGGCACTACCTCTCCACGTCGGGCTGCTCGTCGACTTTTCAAGGGTTGTCCGCTTTTGGGTCTATTGTTCGGTCGTGTCCACTTCTCAAATTAAGTTTTTTTTNTTTTTTTTGTCTAAAAAAGCTTTCCTTCAAAGATTGACTTGAAGTTGACACGTTGCCGTTCTGTATTGAATTCTTTAGCGACGAAAAAAAAGGGGGGGGGGTGCCCCAAATATGTGGGAGAACTTGAGCTTGAATATAAACTTGAATAAATTGTAGTGTTAGAAGAACTGTATTAATTGAGACAATTGAAATTGAGAATTAGGGTACTTACGAAAGTGCTGTTGACGCGGTTCTTGATCGATTGCAGTTCATCTGTTCTTCCGAGAACTCTATTTATTTTCCTGTGTACCATGGATAGTTCCTCAGCCTGCGATGGTCCGCGTGGTTCGTCAAAGGGCTGCAGTTCCTCTATGGGTGGGTGGCGAGGCTCTTCTTGCTGTTGAGGTTGCGGTGGGTTGATGTTGACGTTGACCTCTTGAACTTGAACTTCATCTTGAACTGGTTCCACCGGTATCTCCTCTTGACCTTCTTCCATAGGCTGCTCACGGTTTTCTTGATTCATCTCTGAAAAGATCGTTGTTTGATAAAAAGCAGTTGAAAATCTCCCTGTGTGATGATTGAAGTACGAGCAATTTGTAGTAGTGAAGTTAAAGTAATCTGTAATCAAACTATACTAGTATTTTCGAAGAAGCGAATTTACGTGAAGGAGCGGAGTAAAGGGGAAAAATAGAACGTAAATTCATTGTTGAGTTATTGCCGACTATACTTTCTGACAAGCAGGGAGAACAAAATACGAAGGGGTAGATGGAAGAGAATTTTGAAAACTTCTTGAAAAGATGAAGAAGAGCACACGCTCCGACTACCCGAGGGAATAAGAATGTCACTGTTGAACTCGTCGAAGCTGCCCGTTTCGCAGTTGTTTTGGTTGCGCAGAGATATGCAGCAATGATAAAGGCGGCAATGGGAATGCTCATGAGAACGATTACGGTATAGAGGTAGAAGTTTCTGCAAACGTCAAGAAAGTGAGCTACATCTGGAAATTCCCAGTCTAAAGCCAAAGAGCTGTGAACCAAATCTGCCGATTGATTCCATAATTTTAAGTATTTCCAAAACGGTTCCATATGATGATGTTGATGTAGTTGAGAGTTCCCTTGAGTTCCAAAATCGTTATTTGCTCTCCACATTGCACGCGACATTTTTCGTTTACGCTCGCTTTGTTGAAAAACAGCCGTACTTGGTTTTCTGTCGGCTTCCGTGTGCATGTTAGCACGAATTGTTGATTACCGCATGAGGCTCGCGCGGTTGCGCGTGGTACGTTTGCTGTACATTTTATTGTGGCTACTGTGCCTTTGTAGCAGTTGTAGCAGCCACTGAAAGCGGTTGCGATCACATCGCATTTGAAATCAACTACTTTTCTTGTCAGTTGTGTGATTGTTGGATCGAGTTGTATGGCGAGCTCTACGAGGAAGGACTTTGTTTGAATTTTCGGTAGCTGCTTAGGTCCCGTTACGACAACTCCATTCGGGATGGGTAACGGTAATACGTGTGAGAGATGGTATACGTGCGATATGTTATTTTGTGTACAATAGCACGATATGGAATCTTCAGCCGGATTGCATTTGCAGGTGTCTTTTATGCTGCACTGGTTTGAGGAGTTGAGATTTGAAGGGTTGGAAGTGCAGGCATAACTGAATGTGACGTCGTCATCTATGTAGGCTGTTGTCTTGTTATTGCTGATGAAGCGTTTGTATTGAATAGAAGTTGGTGAGAAGTTAAGGTTGGTCACTTCGATTGTCGCGCTGTCAAATCGGCGACCCTCCTAAGGTCTTAGTTCTCCTGTGATTGCTCTTTGGTTTTGTTGAGTGTCCAATTGCTCTAATTTGAACTTGACGGTTTTATACCACGAGGAGCATTGGAAGATTTCATAGATCTCATCATCTGTTAGGACATGGTAAATCCTGTAGAAGAGACATCCAGAAGAAGGGAATCCGCATGAACATCCCCATCCTCCGCATGATTCTGTACAGTAGGTGATTCCTGTGAAGTTATTCGCTTCTTCAAGCTCCTTTACGCGTGTATCTGGCGATATCCCAGCGCATTTAAGTCCAACACAAGAACCCCTGTGTGGACATCTCTTGCTGAACTGTACTTGAGTTCTGTGTTTCGAGTAGAGTACAGCGTTTCTTTTTGACATCTCAATATGATTTCACCTACTGTAATTATCATGACATGTGTTTGAATCTCCTTCTGTTTCATTTGCAGGCATAATTCAGACTGCATGGAGTTGATTTTGACAATAAGTGTTGAATGATTATTGCATTTGTGATCCCTCTGATCGCATTGNCCCATCCTCCGCATGATTCTGTACAGTAGGTGATTCCTGTGAAGTTATTCGCTTCTTCAAGCTCCTTTACGTGTGTATCTGGCGATATCGCAGCGCATTTAAGTCCAACACAAGAACCCCTGTGTGGACATCCCTTGCTGAACTGTACTTGAGTTCTGTGTTTCGAGTAGAGTACAGCGTTTCCTTTTGACATCTCAATATGATTTCACCTACTGTAATTTTCATGACATGTGTTTGAATCTCCTTCTGTTTCACTTGCAGGCATAATTCAGACTGCATGGAGTTGATTTTGACAATAAGTGTTGAATGATTATTGCATTTGTGATCCCTCTGATCGCATTGNCATGCTCTGCCTGCTCTCCTTACTGTGTGTACTAGAAAGTACACTGTAATAAGTATACAGTAAAACAGCGCTGCTGCTACTACGATTGCTACCCTTGGCCAGCATTCTGGATTTATCATTGGTGTGCAAAATGTGCAGGTGATCTGTTCGCAAAATGGGCTAGGAGAGCAAGCCCAATGAAACGCTTGTGTATTATTGAAAAGTAATGTCTTGACTAATATGTGGTACGAATGCAGGGTGATTTCTGCTGGAAATTGGACCTTGATAATTTTGTCTGGGTGGTCTATTTCTAGGCAATAATCATTAGCGCGAACATGTATTTTATCTTGGTGTTGTTGCATCTTGATAATTATGCCTCCTTTTGTGCACTGTATTGCGCTTTCTTCGTTCTTTGTGCTCGCTCTCGATTGAACGGTTGCGCAAAGGCTCGTCAATAATGCGAGCATAAGCCAGTGTTGATGAAATGCAGGGGATCGATTCCTGCTTCTGTGGTCGTTGTGTACTCCGACGACTGTTATGTGATAGTCTTTGTTTTCTTTTGCGCGGCGTGGCAGCCATGGTCGAGTTCGCTTGACCGTGCGATCGTTTTGGGGCTCATTTGTATTATGATCCGTCGGGGATCTTGATATTGACTTTTCAGTTGACTAATTGCTTTCTCATAGGAATCCCCTGTTCTCGGTATCATTTGAAGCGATCTAGCCGCTTCTCCTTTGCAGCAATTAATGAGGATTGACAGTTTTTCAATGTTGGAGTAGGGTTGCTTATGTACCAGCTCGTGGAATAATTCCCAGAAGGAGTCAAACTCAGAGGGGTTGCCGTAAAAATGTGGGACTTTTAGTTCGTTTCCTAAAAGTCGTCTCTCCATTGAACATGATTCTGCTGTGAGGGCTGGGGTTGATCTAATAGCCCTTGTACGTTTTCCCTTTTGAGTTCATGTCTTGCAGTGGCTTCTTGACATAAAAGCCCCACCAATCTTTTCTCTAATCTGCGTTTGACTTCTTCCGCTTGGTGAAGCAACACTTCCCCTCTTTTCTCAGACCAGTAGTTATCAAATTCCTTTTCAACGTCGTCTTTGACGTCTTGAAAAAGGTCATTGATAGA